AATGTTGTCGGATCGTGTCGCTCGTTTCGTTAAAGAATGCGATGTTATGCTCGATGTTGTGATGTTTATATGATCGCTTTTGTCGAAATGTTTTACAATATTGTAGGCAATTAGAATCTTTGTGCGGAAATATTTTATATTGTTTTGACAACGGCGGTGCAAGAGAACAATGTAAGTATCAGAATAATTTTGAATTATTAAGTTTCCTTACACATTACTTAGTTTCAGTTCAGATTTACATATTTTGTATTAATATAAATATATTTTTTTATGCTTACCTTTTACTTTTTTTACTAATTTTACGTTTTTCACACATTTGTTATATTTTTTTTGTTGAATCAAATAATATTAAATAATAAATAATTATAATAGTAATAGTTAGTAATTTAAAAATTTCAAACCTATTTTCATCTTTTATATAATTCAAATAAGTGATGATTTCGATAATATTGCTGTTTACAAACAAATACGGGAGATTCCAAATGGCGTAGACTATTCACGCTTAGCACAAGTTATTTCTGCGTAGCATCGTAGCAATGGTCTACAGATCAAACTATAATATAATACAAAAACAAACATAATTATAATAATTATTATAAATCTTGTTGCATTTAGATTACGACTGTGTTGTAGGCACGTGTTTTTATATGAAGTTTTAAACAGTAGTAGAGTAGTTTTAAAGAAAGTAAATGTGCCTCCCTTATGGCCATAATTTTTCAGTAAAATTTAAAATTACATGATAATTTGCTTTTTTTCTTTTAGAAGTTTTTATTTTTGTTCTTATTAATTTTCTTGCTATACTAAAGAGTATGCTGACGCGGATTCTGCGTTAGCAGAGCGATCTATTACAAATAACTTTTGATGTTCACAGCCGCGTCGATGTTCACAAAAGGAGCATAATTAAAATGAAACAAAGCTTAATTGTTGTCGCAAAATAGCAAAATAGGGGATGGGCTTACGCAATGTGACCAGCCGCCGCCGGCGTCGCTAGCGGCCTGCGTGCGGCCCGGCACGGGACGGGCGCGCTCTCTGGACCCCGTCCACTGCGCGCGTCCGCGCCCGCGCCGGTCCCCACTACGGCTGAGCGCCGCCCGCCGGCGTCCCTGTCCCCGCTCCGTCCCAACCCGTCCTGTCTCGTCCTGGCCCGTGTCGTCCCGTCCATACCAAAAACCCCCTTTCGCGCTTCGCTTCCTCGTACTCATCCGACTAACCGAGCGACGCGGGAGATGGACGAACACGCGATCGCGTCTCCTTCTCGATCCTCACGCGTTTTCGTTCATTTTAGTATTTAATATCTTATCTACACCTCGACCACACAACACTACTAACAAACACGAATAGATGTTATTTTTACACCCGATATAGTTTATTAATCTTAAGCTTATTACTACTTAAGATATTGGCTTACAATAGACATTGACTTGTAAATACATTGCTACATACATGTTATATAAATTTACTTTAACAACTATTACTTGGTGTCAGCTTTATGTTGTACAATAGCTTAGGGACTCTGTATAGACACTAACACCAATACTGTACACGTTAACAACTTTGTAAGAGACGCAATGGTGCGGTGTGTCGCGCCGTGTTGCGCGGAGTCGCACGATGTGCTCGGGCCGCCGTGGACGCGCAGCCCGACCTCACGCGGTGCATGCTTGCAGGTGATCGCGGTGATATCGATCCTCTTCATCGTCCTGTCCACCATAGGGCTAACCCTGAACACGATACCCCAGATGCAAGTGTACGACGAGAAGGGCGCTCCCATGGACAACCCGCAGCTGGCCATGGTCGAGGCCGTGTGCATCACATGGTTCACACTCGAGTACGTGCTTCGGTTCAGTGCCTCGCCGGATAAGTGGAAATTCTTCAAGGTTTTGCCGTATTTCGTGTCTCTTTTCCTTCTTGAAACAAATAAAAACGCGACGGACCAGTTTCAAGACGTGCGTCGTGTCGTACAAATCTTCCGTATAATGCGAATCCTCCGCATTCTAAAGCTGGCCCGGCACTCCACCGGCCTGCAGTCGCTCGGATTTACGCTCAGGAACTCTTACAAGGAGCTCGGGTTGCTCATGTTGTTTCTCGCGATGGGAGTGCTCATATTTTCGTCGCTGGCGTACTTCGCCGAGAAGGAGGAACCGGGGACTAAATTCATTTCCATTCCGGAAACGTTCTGGTGGGCCGGCATCACCATGACCACAGTCGGATACGGTGACATTTACCCCACGACCCCGTTGGGCAAGGTCATCGGCTCAGTTTGCTGTATCTGCGGCGTGTTGGTAATTGCGTTACCCATCCCCATTATCGTCAACAATTTCGCCGAGTTTTACAAGAACCAGATGCGCCGTGAGAAAGCGCTGAAGCGGCGGGAGGCGCTCGAGCGCGCCAAGCGCGAGGGCTCCATAGTCTCCTTCCACCACATTAACTTGCGCGACGCTTTCGCCAAGAGTATGGACCTCATCGACGTCATCGTGGACACAGGTCAGTAGTGCCCGAAATAGACTAGCCACCGCTTGTTCATGTCCTTCGCTCGTGAACGTCTTGCGATCTCTTTCACTTTGCACGCATGCCTGTTTTTGTGTTATGCTCATCTCGCGTGTGTGTTGTGGAATGCCGTGAATGTCGATGTGTGCACGTCGCATAGTAGAGCTCCCCGGACTCGCAGGCATATATTCAGATTCAAAGAGTTCACGTTACATCGCAGCTACAGCTATCTTCGCTCGTTCGTTGCAAAGAGGTGCACTCAGAGTGTTTTATTCCTTGTCTTCAGGTGACAAGTGCGTCCTCATTGAGGCGAGAGACGACGCCAGATGAGCCACCTCCTCCTCTCGCACGGTCGTCCCACTCGGCCCCTTAATATAATTTCCGTAGCTTGGGGTCGGGTTAGCGTCGCGCGTAGCTTGCGATGTGCGACGAAGACACTCGTATAAGGTCGATCACATTGTCAGCGTAAGGCTAACGCTTCTAGAACTAACATTGACTTCCGTGGACCGCCCATTGTGTGTGCCGGAGGACGCTGGATATCTTAGACTGTTCGTGTTGAATGTGTTATGTGTAGTTCGCGCCGCTGTTTACTCTCATTTATTTCTAATTT